AGAAATCCAAAAATTAAAATATCATAAAAATTGGAACGCGGTCGAACGGGATAAAAAGTATCCTATGTCCTTCTCCTGGCTCTAAACTACCTCCCTGCCAATTTTCAGCTAAATCGGTTCAGCCGTTCTTGAGTTATAAGCGAAGTAACTAACACGACTTTCTTTTATATATATAGATAATATTAATTATTATATATATATATATATATATGTATATGTATATATATATATATATATATATATTTTTTTTTTATTCTGACGGTGTTGCGAATACCTGTAGGTAATAGACCTGTAAATGTGAAGGCTGATGCTTTGTAATACAATATTTGGGTAAATATTACGTATATGTATACAACTACACACTCAGTGTTTATATTCAATAAATAAAAAAATAAATTTGGGAAGAATGCAACAATACAGCATGAACATAGAATCCAGCCGCGTTTTACCCGGAAAATAGTTTTTTTAAATATTATTTTGCAGTACTTTAGAAAAGAAAATTTTATTCGAACGACTATGTTAATTAAGACAACACGTTGTAGACATAAAGAGTACCCTATAGTACTTTGTATACGTAAACCAATAATAGTTATGGTAGCAATGGTAACACATTGATAACGCGCTCGCTTGGTGACTCGCACTCGTCATATTTTCATGTGCAAATTATTTCCTACATGATTACCACCACGGTTATTATACAATACGGTGAAAGAAAACATCTTGAGGAAATCTGCATATCTGAAAAAGCTTAACAAATTTTCGACAGACATTTGAAAATTTGTTAAGTTCATCCACCAATTGGCTAGAGTAGTAAACTATGGCCTGTTGCCCCCTCGTATTGAAGGGAGGTCTGTGCCCAGCTGTGGGATGATTAGAAGGGCTGAATACCTGATTAAAGTTATATAATATTATAAAGAGGTAAAGTTTGTGAATTGTGAGTTTGTGACGTTGTAGGGGGTAATCTCTGGATCTACTAAACCGATTTAGATGAAATTTAGTAAAAAAATAGTTTGAGACCCGATGAAGGACATAGGATACTTGTTATCCTGAAAATCATCCCTTAAGGGGGTGAAAATGGGGATAAAAAATTTGTATGGGGATTCAACCTAGGGATGAACCCGGGCGAAGCTAGGATGAGTCGCTAGTAACTTAATAAACATTTATTTTGTAGCATTCTTATTTAGGATAGTTTCAAGTGTGAAGTAGACCAGTATCCAATATGTAAAGCGCCTAACGGTTGATTGAACTGAGTAAATCAAATATGTACGTTGACTTACATCTAAGTATATCATAGGTTCCAGGAGTTAAATGTTTACTATAGAACGAATACAATTTATCAACTTCTACGATTAGATTCAAGGATGTTCAAAAAGGTTTTTTAGTCCATCCTTTCCATTTGACTCGAGTAATAAACTGATTTTTAATTGTATACTCTCCCGCTTGCGTGTAATTGAGATAGTTCATTAATTATTACGATGCGATGCTCGTTAAAATTACAGTTATATTTATATCGCTGCAAATTATAAAATGTTTTTTCTATGGTTCTTAAAATCTCCCGGATCAAATACAAAACAGGCTACTCTCCTTATACAGATAATTTCTATAGTGATCTAGAACTAGTCCTACGACAATTCTAATACGCTTTCTACAAGGCTTGTTAGATAAAGGTGGTGTTTTCTTCTATCTCTTCACTGAGTATACTTGACAAAGAGCCAATTAAATCTCCCAAAACCTAATCGGGAATCGAGTAGGGCTATAATTTAAACTCATTATTTAGTCATTATTAAATAATTAAAAATAAAATATATAACTAGCTAATAACCGTTACTCTGCAAGAATTTGCAAAAAGGCATTAGAAATAGAATATGTTCGTATTAAATCAAGTTCACCTTTCAATACTGCTGACAAAAGGGACTTTCAAAGTGAAATATTATCATATTACTCTGACTTTTCGCTATACGTTTTTTCCTTTGAATAAATGGATAAAGTGAGAATAATTGATGAATTATATAACAAAAAGGCGTGCGTGAGCCGCACCCACTTGTATATTAATTAAAAACGTGACAACCGCGAATTTTAGCCCTTTTTACTGTGACCGAGCTAAGCTCCAACAATGTAGGTGGAAAATGGTTTTTACTTTTAGTGTATGTTATGAAAGGTATCATAATATTTTAGTTAATCTAATATTTATATTTCAGGTTTAACTGGATGATGAAAATAATTAAAATAACTTGATTAAAAATGTTTTTGTTTCAAGAAATAAATGATGATAATCGCATAATATTATATATACAAACAGCTTTAAAAATTTATTAAAATTGAAATTCTAATACTACTTTTTACATCGCGTACATCGTTACATTTTAAAAAGGCATTATTTTTTTAAAATTTTGTATGAATTATTATTATTATATTATTTTTATATTAGGTAATCTTGTACTTATATGACAAAAAAGTGACCAAAAAGCTTCAAAATACTTACAATTACTGCACAATACAAAAAACTATTTTATCTATAATTTGTATTAGTAAATAAATGTACTTGAGAAATGATACAGTAGATATAAAGTTTCATATGTACGACATCTTGCATTCTATTCGAGTAAAGGTCACAAATGTGCCATGCCTACAGGCTGAATTGATGTAGGTGTGACACTCGGGTGCTAAAAATCGCTTCATATATATCAATGTATGCTCGCTCCCTGCATGCTTCCCAACGAGAAAGGCAAAAGTCGTAAAATCCTATACTATGTACCTTGTAATTATTAATTATCTTCGTTCGTTTCGTTTATTAAATAATATAGTAAAACAAAAATCGCCATTTCATTGAATCAGTGTCATTCCCATATATTTATTTAGGTTTCTATTGTTCAACGGTTGTGTTCCGCTTTACAAAACGGTTAAAAGTTATTTTAGTAACTACTGTAAAAAAATGCTTATGGTATTTAGCAAAATATATACGACTAGCGACTCACCCTCGCTTCGCTCAGGTTCATCCCTAGGTTGATTCCCCATACAAACTTTCATCCCTATTTTCACCCCTTTAAGAGATGATACTCACTATTCAGTTCTTTTTAATGTCCCACTACTGGACACGGGCCTCCCCTAAAACTATATTCTTACCAAATTTCATTTAAATTAGTCCAGTAGTTTTTGAGTTTATTCGTTACAAACACACAAAAATACAAATCTTTCCTCTTTATAATATAAGTTTAGACATGTTCATTCAAATAAATTTAATATCAAGCAAGAAACATTTTGAACAAAGTCACAAAAACTTATATTAAGGTAATTAAATTTAATGTAGAGCTACGTCGTAGCACAGTGAGACAAATATCCGAAGTGCTGCCTGCTACGCCAGAGGTCGCTAGTTTAACTTTCGCCAGAGATGAAAGCTCTATAGACGTTTGTCATACTATTAATTACTAGCGACTCACTCTCGCTCCGCTCGGGTTCGTCCCTAGGTACGTTTTAACGGTTAGTATAGATTTCTCAGAAATGATATATTTTCCCGCAGTAAAAAGTATCCTATATGTTGACCCGGATAACCAGCTATCATCATACCGAATTTCAATTAAATCTGTCCATTGGTTTCCTCGTGAGACTTTCCCAGATAGATAGACAGACAAAAAATTTAAAAACTATAGATTTGTCCTCTGTATCGACTATAATGACTATTTCAATAAGATTTTCCAAAATATATTTAATGTATAAATTCGACTCAGTTAGAATTTTATTATATGTATAAATAAATGTGAATGTATATACCTAATAAAGGAAAGCTATAGCCTAAGAAAGTTTCTGTCAAGAAAATCTATTTAATTATCTCTATTAATAATAGCAAAATAAAAAGAATATTCGTAAACAAAATAAATACGTACAAAAAATAATAATAAATAAGTAATGAAATAACAAAGCTATTATAAAATACGTAAAATATAATTTATTATATTTTAAGTATCATATGCAAATATTGTTTCCAAATAAAATATGTTTTAGCTTAATTTACATACATTAAAATTCGATTGAAAATATTACTTTATTTACTTACTACTCACTTTTCTTCATAGTTTATTTTATTCATTTATACTTAGAAAGTTAACAATCTTAGTAAGTTACGAGTGTAATATGGATTTTAAATTTATTTTAATAAACTAGGTTTCTTAATCACATACATATCTCAAAAACTTTGAATATTCAATAATATATATATAAATATATACTAGTAAAATCTATTAAAACGACATAAAATGAGTATTAATCACAAATTTTAAAATAAGAAACCATTTAGTAACACTAAATGCATTTGTTCTCATATTATTATTCTGTGGATATACAATATACATGTTACCATAGAGACGTTTCACTTCTCTCACCCTCATCATAAAAAACTATTGACCCAACCAAACTGACAAAGCGGGTAGGATTTACCGCCATAAATATTACCTACAGAACCCATATTTACCTGTAACTACCCATTGTTAAAGATTTCCCTTACCCCAAGCATAATCCGTGTTCAGAATAAGATATGTAGAGGTATTTGCAATACTTTGTTATCATCTCACGTATTCGCCCGGACCTTATGTATATTTGAGATAATGTACAAAATTTTAATATATAACCTTGATGTAGGCTGAACAGGTCACCCTACCTGCCTGAAGCGTACAATCTCAAAGTACTTTTTTATTACCGAGCTCATCATCATCCTTTATATTATATATTTGCGTTTTTCATTACTTAAACATTAAATATTTGTTGACTACAACAACTTTCATATGTAAATATGAACTTAACACTAAAATTTATTATAAAAGCATCAATAAAATAGTAAAGTAACTACATAAATAAACCCAAAATTTAGTCTAACAAATCATTAGTGAGAATCTAATCAGAATAAAGTAATTAGGGTAATATCAAACATTAGTAGAAAACTGTCTAACATGAGTGTCATTAAAGCTTTTATCTCTGTAGTTATTTATTTGTGTAATAAATTTACTGACCTAGATTATCGGAGTTCGTGTAGGAAGGGCCGGGCAACACTAGCATTCCGAAAATCAAAATGACCGTGGTATCCATTTTCTTAAAATGCCAGCGATGTAAGCACAACTTTCCATCCACATCAAAGTTCACTTGTCACTAAGTAAAATATTGCCACGTAAGTCATAGTGCAGTAAATAATAAAATATTATAATTAATGTACCAAAGCCAAAATTCTAAAAAAAATTTTTATTTACTTCAAATTCAAGAATAATAATAATTGTATAAAAAATCTCGCATAAAATTCAGTATTGTAAAAAAAAAATATAATTTATTATTAATTTAATTATATTTTAATTAAAAAATATAAAATCATCCAATAATATCGATAAATAATAACAAAACAAACACAAATCAAAACAACACTAAAGAATTTTAAAAGCGATTAATGACGAAGGCTTAATTGTCATTCAGCCAATTAAATCTATTCGGCTGAATGCGCGTGCGGCATATCCCAATTAACTGTCACGTGGCTCACCGCGTGGTTTTATTTATCTGTGGATGGCGAGCGTGTGACCACTCTCGCGCCAAACGTCCAACTGACGCGTTCGCCCTTCATTCACTGGTCAGAACTTCAGCGAACCCATCAATTTAGCCTGACGTTTCAATAGATCCTTTTTCCCTGGTGAGCAATTAGTAGCTCTACTTCTAATTAATAAAGATGGCTCAGAAGTTTTAAAGACTTGTAGACGTAGTTTTCTTTCTAGATTAAATTCAAACGATGCTAATTATATTATGTGCTTGTTGTTAATTATGTCAAGAGTCGAGTATGCTAGGAAATATTTTATCCATTCATTATAAATTAACGATAAACTACGTATAATAGTTTCACAGTTTAAAACGTTATAGCGATTGAAACTATGTTTTATAAATTACACAATAACTAATTTAAAACAAAAGCTAAAACGCTTGAGTATTATGGCTGTGTATATTCTAATATAATATATTCAATACTTAGCAAACTTTAGAACTTTCCTACAATATGCAAACTACAAAATAATCCAGGCGCAATGTCAATAAAGTTCATTAGCTTTTCTATATTTTACCATAACTTATCTTTTGTTTTATTTACATATTTACCACATTCACTAACCGCGTCCAATTAAATATATTACACATATAAAAAAGAATATATACCCATTCCCTTGCGGCCGCACAAAAAGGTCAAACCGCAGTCAAATAGTTCCAACACCAAACGATATCCGGGAAAATGGTGTAATAATATGGCACTAGTTCCGGAATTTCTTTTGCATAACAAATTTGATAAATGATGACAAACGAGATAGCGGCAAATAAACTAGCACATAAAAAAGTCATTTGCCTTCGTTACTATGTTCCGAATCATTGTTTTCTTTTTATCTAGCAAATACAATGGTAATTTTGCTCTTCGCAATCAGCTTATGTAACTTATGAGAGCTATAGATCTAACACTAATAAGAATGATATATACTATGGATATAATATAATGTTATAATATGATGAAACATTTAAAACACGGAACACTCGTCGTGAAAACGTTGAGAATTTGTTTGTATGCCTCCTACGCACTACTGAATGTGGCGAATGGAAATTATTGACTAAACAAAAATATTTCCCCTAGCTAAAACAAAACAATACAAATGAAAATCGAAGTAAGTAAGCTCTATCTGCTACCACACAAGAAAAAGCTCGTTAAAATTTATTTTATATGTACGCTATTTAAATATTTTATCCTATAGTATCCTTAATTTATATTTGGCAAAGCTTTTCAAAAACTTTTACATTCTATATTTTGATATATTAAAATTAAGTAAGCTCAGTAACTTTGCTCGTAATTTGGCAGTCGAACGAATTGTAATTGACTCCTATTGTCGCTAAATTAAAAGTTTTTTTTTTCACCTTGATAAAACGCAAAGTTTTTTTTTATATATGTACATGTAAATTGTATATACTCTATAAGGCAGGTAGTTTTTGTCCATGGATTTACTCGTTTAGTATGGGAAAATAATAATTGATCTATTATTGTTATTAACACTCGTTAATTTATGTTTATTATAATTATTACCATTTATCTATTATATAACATTCATCTTTTATAATTATTTTAGTTATTTTCAGTATAGACTATAATCAACCTCCGTTCCGAATTTCTGTAACTTGAACCGTTGAACCGTTACGCCGCGCTGTGAAGACGTAGTAAATATAGCACTCATAAACTTTAGCAGTACCCGGACGACCGAACTTCACTCGGCGGTTTATTGTTTAATATTGCGTTTTTACAGAAAAGGCATAGATAAACTTAAAAATCAAAATCTTTTCTAAATACAAAATTTGATGAAATAAATTTACATACCTACATATATATATACGAGTATATATATATATATATATATATATATATATATATATATATATAAAAATTCCTCATTTAATATTATGAGATTTATTATATTACTATGATTTTTCAAAGTAGACCCCAAGAAAAGCCAGGATGCAGTGGCATAATAAAATGCTTTAATATATTCCAGTGTATATTCAATGAATTCACTTGCTATCATAAAATAAGTCCGTCTGCTCATTCAGGAGTATTTTATATTCTTGTGACAAAAAACTCAACGTTCTCTTTATTATTTAACTGTGAGTGTTTTTTTTAATATCCAACACAATATTAATTTTTTTTATCGACTTCAAAATAGAAATGCTTTTATGCATTAATCTATACATATAATAAAATTGAAACTAAGCCGAATCTGTACATTAAATATTTTTTGGAAAATCTTATTAAAATAAACATTATTATCGATACAGAGGCCGAATGTATAGTTTTTAGAATTTTTGTCTGTCTGTCTGTTATCGCATCCCACAAAAACCACTGGACGGATTTTCATGAAATTTGGTATGGTGATAGCTGGTAGATAACCAACTCAACATATAGAATACTTTTTACCGCGGGAAAATTTCTCATTTCTGAGAAAAAATACGAAAACTGCAATGTATGAGTATACTATATGTATATTTATATTATTCTTAAGCTTTACATATATATTTATATATATGTAAAAGCTAAGAATCTGGTCATCTGAACGCGGGTGGAGCTGCGGACAATTCTAGTTTATGTAATAAATAAGTAAAAACTATGGAATGTTTCCATATAAACTTCAAGAAAAAAAACTATCTTTGTACGATGTTATAGAAAAGTGACTTTGTTGGTTTTTAGTTAAGTTCATTAGTAGTTAGTATATTATACAACATCACAAGGATAGAGGAGACTTAAAAAAATTACATACAAATCGAACTCTTGATAAATGCGAATAGAACCACTAGTGAATAATAAAATATTCCATAACTTGCTCTGTCTTAGTACAAGTATATTTTACTGTTTCAACTAGCTTCTATTAATATTTTGCAAACTGCCGGCGGCTTCTCCCACTCGCACCTCGTAAATTAATTTAATTGAAAATTTCGAACTTCTTACGCAATATTTTCTTCAGACGAACCATTTTATAATATTGTTATGCGTTTTATTAAAGTTTATATATTTTTTTGTAATAAAATAGCTAAAAGAGAACCAAACTTTAACTACTGAGCGAAGCTTAGATTTTTCTGAGCCAGTATGAATGAAATTTCCTCCATTACAAGCAAAGTAAAACTAAATAGGGACGTTCCACATTTCACAGAGAGCACTTCGCAAAAAAATAACGTCCGCCCAGATGAACGAATCAGCGATAAAGCTGAAACAAAATGAATGGGTTCTGCAAATGTTTATTTCAGCACCTTTTCGTGATTCCTACTTCAAATGGCAATTGTAGACACTTTTTCCTATTATCTTGCGAATTGAGTAATTTACTTTTAAATGAAACAAAGCTTGTACTATAAACTTCACAGTAAAAGTTTTATAACTTGATTAGTAATATAGCAACCCATAGAAATTTCATTTTTATCTGAATAAACTGTATGAGTGTAAGTATTATAAAACCTTATATAGAGCTTAAGTGAAACCAAACTTAATATTCATTTTTCCCATACGTTTTACGACCTCAGAATTTCTTGTTTGTACCTCAGAATTCTGTTCACTCAAAGTTAATCCAAATTCTATCAGCGTCACGAGGCATATTTATCCGAGGCCTTATTATTATTTGCTTTAGTACTTTGGAGAAAAGATATAGGTAGTGATAAACAAAATTTAAGCCTGGTTTGGTCGTTACGAAGAGTATTATTTATTTCATAGGTGAAATATTATTAATATTTATTTTAAAGATAAATATTAAGGTCATTAAAGACATAACATTAATATTAATTAGTATTTGAAGTTATGAACATAAGAAATGAAATTATAAAGTACTAGCAATAAGTTGCTAGTGCGTATCATCCGTATATTATAAATGTAAAAGTTTGTGAGTATGTATGGATGTTTCTTACTCTTTCACGCCAGAACGGTTGAAGGGATCTGGGTGGAATTTGGCACAGAGATAGATTATAGTATGGAATAACACATAGGCTACTTTTTATCCTAGAGAAATGTACGGTTCCCGTGGGATAGGTTTTTTTTTAATAAATGAGTACACCTAGTGACACTTACTGAATGTCCTAATTCGACGTCCTCTGATTCAATATCCTGATCGATTTCGGCCACGGCGGCCAGTCTTATTGAGATTAGCAATCTGCGCAGGAGATATTATAGTACATAAGTTTACGCGCAGACACAAGTGCATTCTCTATTCCTGTCACTCTCAAACTCTGATGAGACGACAATTCGACACGACCAATGATATAATATATTTTATTTATTTATTTTACATCCAATTAGAACGGCGGCGCCACTTACACTAGCTAGATTATACATTATATATTATTACAAACATAAAATACACAAACAAAACATAAGTAAATATTACTTGGGTTCTGAGAGCATGCTGAGAATATCGAATAGCGAATATAATAAATAATAGGGCACGGGATAGAAACAGCAGCAACTTCCCAGCTCTGCACTGTTACTGAGAATTCTTGATAAAAGTACTCTATATCGAAGG